ATAGGGCAGTTACATTTATTACCACTGCAATAGAAAATTGACGCATTGACTTTTGGTGTTGGTGAAAAATAATGCATATACCATTCACAGCTCAAAGAACAAACAAATCTCTCTTGGAAGAAGTGCAGCCAGAGTGTTCTTCAGAAGCAAGAATGGTGAGATTTTTGTGTTATCTACTTTGGGCAAGTAGGTGAGGAGGGGCCAGGCCCCAAAGGATACTATGCTTTGAAAAGTAAAATATCAGTACAAAGCAGGAAGAATCTCAATGAGAGGAATGTACACACTGACTGTAGCAATGGAGTTCTAGAGAGATTGTGAGTATGGCACAGGGTCAGAGTTTCATTCTGCTGTCTATAGGTTCCGCACAAGTAAGAGCTGATTTAACAGCACCTAAACACAAAGTCATCCTTTATTGTCACATGTATTGCTGTTATTGATTGCCATCGAGTTGAGCACGACTCATGGTGACCCTATGAACAAAAGACCTGAAGCCTTTCTATAACTATTGACATTTATCACAGAATTTCCAGAGGCATGTCGTTTAGGAAGTGGATACCACTCCTGCTTTCAAACTGTTTTAAACTGGGAAGTGACATGTATTACATATCCTTATATAATAAACACCACAGATGATGTAGCTTTATTTTAAACAGTTATATATGTTTTAGAGAAACTGAGTACCTTCTTGAATCTATAAAATGCTATCTTTCATCATTATTAGGAAAGTCCCCCCCCCCACTTTTTCTTGAAGTATTTTTCATGCCCCACTGTCTCTTTCTCTTTCTGGAAATTCAATTATGTTTATAACTATTATCAACATCTTGTCTCACAAGTCTCTAGGATTGTTTCTTTTCTAGTCAATCTTTCTTCCCTTAATTCTTCCAAATGGATAATTTATTTTCATTTCATTGGTTCTTTATAACAAGGTTTATTTAGTGAATGTGAGATGTTTTATTTGTCAGTTCTAAAACTTCTGTTTCTACATTTTTGTTTTACTAGTGAATATATATGTATATATAAATTACAGAACCATTTTCTTTAACCTGCTTAAAAAGCCTTGTCTTATAATTCCACCATTTGGTTTGTTTTAGAGCTAGCATCCATTGATTGATTGTCCTCCTATGAATAAGCTGAAATTTTCTCTTTTCTGTATGATTCCAATAATACCCTTAACATAATGACCACTATGCTGTAGATATTCTGGTTTCTGTTTGTTATATGCATGTGAAATCACCCACCCATGTTTCTGTGTTAGCAAGCAATTCACCTGTTGAGACTCAAAAGGCAAAGCTCCTGTGAGCAGCACATCAGATCTTAGTTTAGGACATCTTCAGTCTAACACCCAGATGCAGGGTTGAGGAGTCAGCCAGGGTCTGTAGCAGGCCTTCTACACAGAACCTGAGCTTCTCTTTATTTGTTTTTCTTCTTTAGGAAATTCCACTTCATTTTTCAACATTTTTTATTATGCCAATTTCTTTACTATAATTCTTCTAATTGTCAAGCTGGTTAGTTTTTTATGCATCTTTTTATCTTCTATTTTAACTACCCAGTGTGGTTGCCTTGACTGGCTGCAGGATAGAGATACAAAACAATGAAACACGTTCGTCCCCTCACTTTCACCAAATTCTGACATTTTCCACAATTGTCTGCTCTTATTCACCTCCTCGTGTGTTTAAGGAATGTTTTTCGTTGTAGTTAGTCTAGATTTTACAGTTGTTGGAACATTGGTCTACTAGCAATAGACCTGCTAAACATGGAACACCATGATATTCCACTTTGAAATGAAATACGGATCTGGTAATATATGCATTTAAAATGCCCTAAAAAGTCTAATACATTGGATTATGGAAATATTGATTCATACTTTGCTAATTTTTCTTAATACATCAGAATGTCACAATTAGCTCATAAAAAATTATCAGCTAGTATTTAGAGGTATTTAGTAAACATACTGACAAAGATAATTTATGACTTACATCCTATGTCTTTCTGCACAAGCAATTTTGAATACTTATGTAAAATATTTTGGGATTAAAAAACATTCATGCCAAATATCTTTTATGTTTAAATAAATCACAGCTGCAGGGAAACAATCAGCCAAGTCTTAACTAAACACCAGGTACTTTGTTCAGTGTGGCTTATTTCTCTGAGTTGGAGCAAATATTTGTGTAAGTATTACTTCACTAAAAGGTATGTGTCATTTGACTCAGTAGATTTATAAATTTATTTTTTTAGATTTATAAATTTTAAGCATTGAAAGGATTGTGTATGTATGTATGTATGTATGTATGTATGTATGTATTTAAACTTCTTGGACTAAATTTAAACCTCTAGTAATTTGAAAGCTTGTACTACCTGCACATTCTAAATAGATTATCTCATTAATTATAATCCCAACAATATGAAAGGGTATATATTACTGTCTATTATCTGGAATGAAGAAAATAAGGTTTAAAGAAATAAATTAATGCCCCTGGTGTTAACAACTATTAAATAACCAAGTCTATACTCAAATACAAATGCTCCTAAATGCAAAGCCATACAATGTCATTTAGATATAGAATGAAGTACTCAGGGTTGGGTACTTTGCATTGGTTTTATAAGTATCAGAACAAGTACTTTCCTTAGCATATTTAAAAATATTTTGAAGAAGTTCAGTTTTTTTTCTTTTCATGCTATATTGTGTATAATTGAGTTAGAAATGACTTATAGTTGACCTTCTAGTGAATTATCAGAGGCGGTAATTTGCATATAAGGAGATTGTTCATCTTTCTCCTGAAGAGCAACTGGTGGATTCGAACCACCTGTCATTGTGTAGCACAACCTTAATTCATTAGGTCACCAGAGCTCCCTCAAACATATTGTTGTTGTTGTTAAGGGCCATCAAGTCGCAGGTGACTTATAGTGACCCTATGAAGGAGAGTCCTCAACACTTGGGTGCCTTTCATCCTCTCTCCAGGTTCAAAGGTTATCCGGAGGCAAGCTATTGTGGAAGTGGATGCCACTCCTCCTTCCAACAAACATATTAGGAAAATCAAATACTAGATGGTAAATTTCTAGATGGTAAAGTTCAGATTTAAAAAACTAAATTCAAAACAAGTTTCCCAAGGTGTTGTTCATACAGCATCTAATCTAACAGTTAACAGCTTCTGTTTGACACTATTAGAATGGGATTTCAAGATTGTTTTATGGAAAATTTTGGCACAAAAACTGATCCTCTGACACTAAATGTTTCCATTATCTCATTCATTAGTAGAAAAACAATACAAAGATAGTATCTAATTATAATAGTCTATCAAATGGAAATCCATGACCCTGCACTTAATTCCTACTTCCTTCCTTCCATTTGGCTCCCAAGGTTGTAAAAACCCACTGGAGGAGAATGCCCATTTTATTCCCTCTGAGCCACTAGTAGATTTGAACTGCCAAAGACACATGCCCTTTGGATTAGTAGTACAACATACTATGGATTTATGGAATACACACTAAAGCTCATCTCTTTATTCATTCATGTGTGTGTGTGTAAAGTATACATATATATTTCATATTTCAGATAGTTCATATTTGTATACATATATAAGTATTTGTGTCAAGAAAAAGTATGACAAAAGGTAGCCCTGGTTGTTAAAGCAGTCAGATGCTAACTGAACTGTTGGTAGTTTAAAGACACCAGCCTCTCCACAGGAGAAAGATGTGGCATTCTACTTCTATAAAGATCTACAGCCTTGGGAACTCTTTGTGTCGGTTCTAATCTGTGCCACAGGATCACTATAAATAGAAATCAACTCAGTAGCAATAGACTTGCTTTGGGGTTTTGTTTTATAGAGAAATGAAATACATTCAGCAGGGCGTTATTGCTTCAAAAGCAGCATCCTTCCTCTATACTTGCCAGTCACTTCCCTGACCTTTAGATAACCCTTTGGTTTCTTCCTTACCTCCAATCATCCTTTGAGAGGTTGATCAAAATATTCATTTCCTCATCCTCTTGGAGAAGACGATAGGCAGCACTTAAGTGGTGATTTTCCAGTACAGATCTATCATTGTATAAAATGGCTGGATCAGATCTGCACAGAAAGCAAAGCAAATTGTTTAGAATCTTAAACAACTGTGGTTTCCAATTGACTCTTCCAGGCTGTAATGTACCATCTTTCTTCTCTCCAGATAAAGATCATCTTTGCTACCTGCTATTTATATCAACCAAAATGCTCACAAGGAGCCACAGTTGGCTGAAAAGCAGCTAACAACCAACAACAATACAAAGCTAAAGCTAACATTGCTTGACATAATTATCAGTGCATGATACAGAGCACTGCACTGGTCTGTGCATTGCTGTACAGAGGTAACTCATGGTTGCTGTGAATGCTAAACACTGTGACACTGATGTGCCAAATGCGATAATGGTTACCCCTGGTGGACAGTGTTTGGTGGAGCTTCCCAATTAAAACAAGCTTGGAAGAAGGAGTGGCATCCACTTCCACAATGGCTTGTCACCAGAAACTCTACAAACAGTGCTCAGGTCTTTTGTTCATAGGGTCGCTATGAGTTGTCTACAACTCAATGGTACTTATCAGCAACAACAACAATGTGAATATAGACATGAAATACGTGACGTCCAACTTGAGAACGTGAAAACTTTGTACATAATATCAAACATCCTTGTGTTTCCTGGAGCACCTTTTATTTTTTATTTTACTTGTTTGATTAATTTGTTTATTTATTTTAGTGGGTACAGTCTGCAAGCTGCCTCTGGTATAAATTTGATCTTAAAAATTTTACCAGGCAAAAGTCAGACATGAAAAACTGACTCTAACGGTCATAAGGATCATAATAGTCTATCACTTTGTCAAAGCTCATTGGGCAATCAAATATCACTAAAGTGCAAGGTTGTATACTATTCTAATATCTTTTTAAAATTTCTTTATTCTGATATCTTAATGTAATCACATTTTAGACAATGTTGTTATTATTACATACCACTGAGTCAGAACCAAACTCACAGCTGACCCACCACTGGGTTTTCACAGGCAGTTAATCACACTGGGAGAAGACTGTCCATCTCTCATCTGTGGGAAAACTTGTGGATTCGAACCACAAGTCTTTCATTTGGCAGAGCAACTCCTTATTGCTAAGCCACCAAAGCTCACTTAGGAGCTTAGGGTAAATGGTAGGGATGGGATGACAACAAAGTTTCCTGCTAGTTAGGACACTGCTCCCTAATAAGACACCTTCTCTCTGTTACTGGTCAAATTCTGGGTTGTGTACAGCACACATTTAAAGTGTGCTACACTTAATACTTAGTTAAAAAAAGAAGAAGGGAGGGAGGGAGGAGAGGAGAGGAGAGGAGAGGAAAGGAAAGGAAAAGAATATGATCACAAACTTAGTTTTCTGAACAAGGATCATAAGAGTAAGATGTCTTATTAAAGAAAGACAATGTCTACATTTCATTCCAAAGCAAGCTTAACCGAGCTCATGTTGTTATTATTGTTTTGTGCCGTTCAGTCGCTTGCCACTCATAGTGACCCTATGTATAACAGCCCTAAACTCTGCTCTGCTCTGTGCCAATCTCACCGTCTCTGATACACCCATCCTGATTACCCCAGTCACTGAATCAATCCACCTCATAGAGGGCCTTCCCCTCCTGCGCTGTCCCTCCACCCTACCAAGCATGATTTCCTTCTCCAAGCACTGGTTCATCCTTAGAACATGTCCAAAGTATGTCAGATGAGCCTCAGAATCCTTGCCTCCAAGGAGCCACCCGGTTTAACCCTTTCCAGGATGAATGGATATAATTGAGCCTTGAGACATCTAAACAGATAACATGCTTCACAGTCAATCAGGTAACATACTTGGCTATTAAATAGTAACATGCTTGGTTAATGGTTAAAGTCTACCCTAACGTGCCTCAGGAGAAATTTCTGGTGATCTGCTTCAAACTATCTGCCACTGAAAATCCTACAGAACACTGTTCTGTTTTGACACACATGGGGCTGTCACGAGTTGACTTGACAGCAGCTGGTATGGACATAACATAAAACATGAAGATTCAGGTGTAGAAGATCTGCTCTTGTATCTGTTCATAGGTGAGCCATGAACCGATGAGTATTTTGTAACATTAAGTTATATCCCAACTTTTGTGATTAAACCTTTTTCCTTTGGCTTTTGACTGACTTTGAGACTCGCCTTAAGCCAAGATCCATCTTACAAGCTGCTCCAGTTCTTCACCTGCCTTTAACAGAAGCTATCACTACAGTTCTCTGTCCTCAGAGCAAAGGTTCAACTCACAGATACCTGTTAAACAAATTACTCCATGGAACTGTCCACATTTAGAGACCTTGGAACAGATCCACCAAAGGATACCTCCCAGATGTTGAGATTACTCTGTGTGAGGAATTAAGTAAGAGGTGAGATCTGAAGAGAACTCAGGCCAAGTCTTTTGTCACTTCTATTCTAGTGAAAACATCCTTCTGAATAGAGAGTAGATGATATTGTCTCCTTCTGTACAACATGTTGAGCTCAGTAGATACATGTAGATTGACTTAACGAATACAAACCCATGTAGAGTAAGGCTCAGCTTTTGCACGTGAAATCTGTAAAAAGTCAGTATTAAAATTCCACTTCCTCCTGTTACACTCTTTTCCTTTCTTCACCATCCACCCCGTTAGGCCTGGGTAAGGGGGCCAGGAGGGAGAACAAGAATGCAGCCTTCAGGCCAGATGGACTTGCTTACAATTGATAAGGTGGACAAACAACCTTGCCAACCTTGCTGAACCAACCGCGGACTGTAAATCAAGAAATGGAATGCAACTCCCTTCTTCCCGAAGACCCCAGTATAAAAACCCCATCCCAACGCTCCAGGGTTGCGAATTCTCTGCTCTGTCCCTTCAGGATGGAAGATTTGTCCGGGAGCTCCGCTTGAATAAAGTTATAACTTTTAAACCTCATCTCTCTTTCGCTGACTTCTTTCAGGTATTTCGCTATACACCCCCAAGCACAAATTTCCACTGATGTTTTTGTTCTTAGGTGCCCTCAAGTCAATTACAACCCATAGCGACCCTATGAACAACAGATCTGAACCCTGTCCTATCCAGTACCATCCTCATAACCTCTGACACACTTGAGCCCATTGCTATAGTCACTATGTCAATCCACTTGGTTGAGGGTCTTCCTCTCCTTTGCCTTCCCTTCACCTTTTCAAGCATGATGACCCTCTCCAAGGAATAGCATCTCCTAGCAACATGACAAAGCTTCATCCTGTTTGCCTCCAGGAAGCAACCTGGCTGTACCTTCTCCATGACATATCTGTTTGTTCTTTTGACAGTTCATGGAATATTCAGTACTCTTCTCCAACATCACAGTTCAAAGGCACCAATTCTACTTCTGTCATCCTTATTCACTGTCCAGCTCTCAGATGCACAGCAATTGACTGAAAAGACCATGGCCTGAATCAGGAATACCTTAATCCTCTAACTGACATTACTGCCCCTCAATAATTTGGAGAGGTCCTTACTGCAGGGACCACTGATTCATTGTTATAAAGGTCTAGTTAACCTGACTATCATGACATGTCACATCATGGCTTTAAGAGAAGGTAAATTCTGAAGCTAGGAGACAGGAGGTGAGATTTCCAACTCTAGGAAAATGACAAAAGGCACTGACTACCTGGAATTCTATACTGAGAAGACGACTCAGGACAAACCCACAACTAGGCAATGTTACGGACCTGCAGGTTTCATGGAGGAACACTTCACCCTGTGCTTACTATCCCCACAAAGGTTTGCATTTACTTTGGAAGTTGGTTATGCACAAGAAGCCTCTGGTGGGCGTGGCCTGCAGGAGGCATTCTCACTGCACAAACCATTTGCCAGGAAGGGTTGTAAGCACTAAACAGAGATGAAATTAAGGAGAATGAAAGAGTATCCCACCAGAATCCCCGAGAGCAAAGAGTAGAAAGACATATTTATGTTGATGATAGCAATAATGTTCTGATTATTGCCAGACACCACTGAGTATAATTTATGTGCATCAAGTCCTTTATGTAAACGGCCCCAGATTCTCTTAGAAGCAGGTTTGATATGAAAACACATCAATAAAAAAAAACAGTAAAACAGCAGAGGAAGAAAGTATATCCACAGTAGATCTGAAAAAAACAGGAGGATTAGGAGCAAATCACTTTCATAAACTGAAAGTCTAGATTGAAGCTGCCCAGGGAGATCTCTGGCTTATAAAAGCATTTTTTCCCCCAGAAGGTCAAATATAGTGACCACGTGGGAGAAAGAAGACTAATACCATTCTGATTTCTAAACTTCTATCCCTGTCCCCTCCCGGCTCTATCCGAAACACACCAATCTCCTCACCGAGTCTGGATGTGGAAGTTGTTGGTGGTTCCCGTGTGCTCATAGTCATGGATGGCAGCTGAGAAGATGATGGCAAAGATCTCCAGCTCCGTCAGCCAGTTCTGAAAGGGAGATTACAGAGCAATCAGACACTGTGTCTCTTTCTCAGACAGACTCTCCAGTCTGCTGACAACACACCCACATTGCTGCCTTTCCGCCCTGCAGCTGGCAAAGTATTGCCAAAGACAAGTTTTCTGACAGACAGAAATAGTTTGCTGTTGCTGTGAAGAGACTGACGGGCATGTTATTTGAAGAAGCAAGCCCAGCAAGGTGGAAAGTGCTAACTACTAGTTATCTGTTTCAGGGAACAAAATCTTCAGTGGATCCTCTAGCTACTTCCTTTAAAGTTCCTAGATTGACAAAGATGAAAAAAAGAGAAAGATTTAATTTTTCAATATAGCACTAAGAAGCAAGAGGAGTAGAAAACCAAATGTTTGGTTATCAGAAGAATATCCACAAAGTGGGTAAAGAGAATTGGAGAAATAATGCAGCTTTCCCAAGCCTTATGTTTGAAGGAACCTGTCCCCCTGCACTCTGCCAATATTTGCTGGAGTTCAGTAATTCAACTGGGAGCTTGTTAGGTGTGAAGTTCTTGGGTCCCTCATTCTTACTGAACTGTAGACCAATAGAGAGATTCAGAAACTGGGGTTTAACAAGCCCTCTAGGTGATTCTGATTTCCATTACCATGTTGGAAACTTATTTAATTGACTTCCATCTACGGATTCAGTGATGCTTCATGTCCCTCTGTAAACCACACTGTCCAAAAGACAGAGCAGCAGGCTACAGCTCTTGAGTAGCCTGTGGGATCCAGGGCTCTCTTATATTGCTTACTTGAGCTGATGCTTACATCAGCCAGTATTATTTCTTCTAAATCCTAGATAGCAAGTTGCACTTACTACTGTAATTATTTAATTAAGTATGATATGAACCAACAAAATATAAGCACAAAAAATGGAGCTGTTATTTCTATAAACCTTTTAAATTCAATGCATTGGACAGTCACTAAAAATTTCCAATCAAGATATATGTGACAACTTTAAAATGGCAGAAAGTACTGTAAATATTTCGTGAGTTTATGCACTTTGCTTGTTTTATTTTAAAGAAATTAAATCTGAAGTATTAGCGGAGTGAGGTTAATGTTCATAAAATAATTAAACAAATAGAATTCAGGAAAGAAGTCTGAGATTTAAATTTCAGAATAGAGAATAAACCTATTTTAATATTTAAGCACCAAAAATAGATAAAACTAGCATTATTTTTAAAAAATTTTTATTACTTTGCATACAATAATTTGTTTATATTGTGTTTAATTCATGTACTTTGGGTTTTTCCTGCACCTTCCCCCACCAAACTCTGAGACCCCATGATTATGAGTCCTCATTGTATTTTTAAATTAATTATCAATTTTGATTCTCATCTAAAAACTTCTGAGAATAATACCTTTTTCAAAGCTGACTAAGAGGAAAATAAACGAACTACATATAACCTATGAAAAGCACTTCAGAATTATGAAAACAAGTAACTAAAAAAGCAGTATGTTCTTTCAAAAATTATTTTTTGAAGAATCTAGTATGATGTGTCCAGAAACTCTTTTGCATCCTAAGTAAAGTACTTCCCCCACATTCCCCCAAAAAAATAAAAACCAAAAAGCCCCCCCAAAACTTATGTATTGTGAGCAGTATATAAATATAAAACAGATCGGCTGCAGAGAGTCAAGGACTGCAGCCTCCAATATGGACTGAGGCTCAATGTCAAGAAGACAAAGATTCTTACCACTGGACTAATTGGCAGTATCAGGATGGATGGTGAAGAGATTGAGATTGTACACAGCTTTAGTTTGCTTGGCTCCATAGTCAACACTCTTGGCACCAGTAGCCAGGAAATTAATGGCGCGTTGCCACGGGAAAGACTGCTGTTAGGGACCTCTCAAAAGTACTGGAGAGCAATGGTGTCATTCTGGAGACTAAGGTGTGTCTGATACAGGCCATGGTCTTCGCAATCACTTGTTATGCATCAGAGAGTTGGACAATGACTAAGGAGGATAGAAGGAGAATTGATGCCTTTGAGCTGTGGTGCTGGAGAAAAGTATTGAGAATACCATGGACTGCTAGGAAAACAAACAGATTTGTCCTGGACAGGGTTAAACCGGGTGGCTTCTTGGAGGCAAGGATTCTGAGGCTCCGTCTAACATACTTTGGACATGTTGTCAGGAGAGACCAGTCCTTGGAGAAGGACATCATGCTTTGTAGGGTGGAGGGACTGCGCAGGAGGGGAAGGCCCTCTATGAGGTGGATTGATTCAGTGACTGGGATAATCAGGATGGGAGTGTCAGAGACACAGGACAGAGCAGAGTTTAGGGCTGTTGTATATACGGTTGCTAAGAGTCGCAAACGACTCGACAGCACATAACAACAGCAACAACAACAACAACAACAACAATCATGGAGTGAAAGTCAACAAAGTAAGATTTAAAAAGCTAACTAAGACAGAAAAAATTATGAGAAAACTAAAGTTGCAAAATCTATACTACAAAGGGCTTCATCATCGTGATTAACACTCCTCAAGGGTATAACCAGTGGCAGGTCCTACTCTAAGTGCTTTGGCCAGAGAAGCCTTTATTATACTTGTAAGTTCATATATGTTGCACAACTTGTACCCTCATTTTACAAATGATAAAGCTGAAGCCCAGTGAGGTTAAGTCACATACAAAAAGTCATTCACTATGACTCCAGAGTTCTCATTTTCAGATACATTCAATTTGCATCATTGTTCATGTGCTTATTTCATTTAGATGTCACTTCACATTTTTTTCATTACATCACCCACATATTTACATACATAGATATGTATTTTTAAATTATGGTAATGACTTCCTTCTGTCCCCTCTCATTTAACCACGACTCTATCTTCTTCCTATCATGGAACTCTTTCTCTAAGTGCATGCAAAGGCAATTTAGCGGTTTAAATTAAGATTATGAATAGGAGACATTGTATCATCTAAACAAATCAGAGTCATTGATAATCAGTTCAGCCACCAGGAAAAGTCCCTCATTACAGCTCCCACATTAAAAATATTGTGAACAATCGAATGGATTGAGAAACTGACATTCACAAGATGGAATACTACACAGCACTCAGCAGCAATGGTTTCAAAAATTACCACATAATAATAATGGGAGAGACTGGAGGGCATTATGCTGAGTGAACTCAGTCCATAAGGATAAATAATACATTGAACCTTTATTGTAAAAACAGAAGAATAGCAAGTAAAAGGTATATAGGGATCCAAGGCAGGAAGGGGCAGGAATCTAAGGGTCTCACAATTTGGTGGGTGAAGGGAAGTGGGGTAAGAGAAATGGGAAAGATCTAGCAGGAACTGGGAAGACAGTGTAATAAAGTGTGTGGTCAAATAGTGAATTATTTTCTAACAAATATTGAGAATGACTGTGTGAAACACGATGTGAGTGAAGGATAGTGTATGCAATCCAAAGTACAATATAAAAAACCCTACTATTCAAAGACATCAATTCTTAGTCATCTTTATTCATCTCATTAATTGTCAAACTTTCAGATGTAGAGGAAGACACTGAAAAGGCTTTGGTCTGGATCAGGTGTACCTTAGTCTTTAAACTGACATTTTGGAGAGGTCCTATATAGCAGGCTTTTCCAACACAGCACATATTTTGATTTCTTGGTTGCTGTTACCATGAATATTAATTTCAGATTCAAGCATAATGAAATAACTGACAACTCTTAAATTTGGTAGGCAGGGACATTTCATCAATTTTTATTTTAAGGTTTACTTTTTTAGTGGATTTTTAAATTTTACATTGGTTTGTCAAAACACAATGTACATAAATAAAACAGAATATATCTGAGAAAAAACGTAACCCCATTATAAATGGAGTAAAGACAGAGTTAAAAAAAATAAAACTTTTTTACATCAAAGATTAAAGAAATGAGAAGGAAAAGACTCATAAAATAACTTTAATTATGAAAAAAAGCAGACTGGAGCTTGGACTTATTAACATCTATTCATCAACAGCTCTTAAATCTAGTTCTCTTCAAAGATAAGGGCACAAAAAATCTGAAAGGATTCAAGCATCTTCCAAGCACTTCAGTAAAGCAATAATGAGTAATACAAACAAATTACAATGAGTAATACTCATTGTATTGATGTTGATGTTGAAACCCAGACATCTCTTTATCAATGGAATGTTCTGATTCCCTAAGTGCCTTACAGTTTATAGAACGGAAATGATTTAAAGCATTTTTCCTTTCTCTGTTTGTAATGAGAGGTTAGAGTAAAAGTATGTTCTCCAGTCATCAGAACACTGTTGCTGTTATGTGCCGTCGAGTCGCTTGTGACTCTTAGCAACCCTATGTACAACAGCCCTAAACTCTGCTCTGTCCTGTGCCAATCGCACTGTCTCTGAAACACCCATCCCAATTACCCCAGTCACTGAATCAATCCACCTCATAGAGGGCCTTCCCCTCCTGCGCAGTCCCTCCACCCTCCCAAGCATGATGTCCCTCTCCAAGGACCGGCCCCTCCTTACAACATGTTCAAAGTATGTTAAACGGAGCCTTAGAATCCTTGCCTCCAAGGAGCAGCCCGGTTTAACCCTCTCCAGGATGAATCTGTTTGCTTTCCTAGAAGTCCATGGAACCTCCAATACTCTTCTCCAGCACCACACCTCAAAGGCATCAATCCTTCTATCCTCCTTAGTCACTGTCCAACTCTCTGATGCATAACAAAAACCATGGCCTGTATCAGATGCACCTTAGTCTTCGGAGAGACACCATTGCTCTTCAGTACTTTGGAGAGGTCCCTAACAGCAGACTTTTCCATGGCAGTGCGCCTTTTAATTTCCTGGCTACTGGTGCCAAGAGTGTTGACTGTGGAGCCACTACCCACTCTTTTTTGTAAACTTGCAATAGGAGAAGTTTGTTGTGAACAGTATTTCTAAGGGAGAGCAGTTGGAAGTTGTTTCTATAGCTAATAATTATTCTGAATATGACCTGAACTGATAGTGAAGATTCAGTGGCAAATGGCAAATG